TGCCCCCGATGCCCAACCCGCGTTTTCCCTCTGACGGCGGCACCCCATACCCACAGACACCCCTGGGCCCCACCGCCCCCACAGCCCTCCAACCCCACAGAGATATTGGGGTGCTGGGGGACATGTGGGGATGGGGCGCATGGGGATGGGGAGGGAGCGTGGGGATGTGGGGAGAAATGGGGGACGGTGTAACAGTGGAAGGATGTAGGGACGTGGGGGGACATTGGAGGTCAGTGGAGATATGGGGGCACAAGGAGCAATATGGGAATGTGGGGGGTAGGGTGACATGGCGGTGATATTGGGATGTGGGGTGATGAGGGGGCATATATTGGGATGGGGAAAACTGGCGGCATGGGGGGCACACTGGGGACACATGGGGGCATTGGGGACATGTGGACATACTGAGGATTTGAGGATGTGGGGACACATAGGGACACGGAGGGGTGGAGGACATGGGGACATATGGGGACAGAGGGACAATGGGGGACATGGGGGTGCCTGTGTGGCTCTGTTGGATCTGTGGGGCTCTATGGGATTCTGTGACCCCTGTGAGTTCTATGGGGCTCTGTGGGATTCTTGGAGACTTAATGGGGCTCTATGGGGTCTGTGCAGGTCTGTGGGGCTCTGTGGGGTCTATAGAGCTCTATGGGGCAATATGGACTCTGCGGAGGCTATGGGCTATATGGGTCCCCATGGGTTTCCCCTGCCCCACAGCTCTGCCCCACAGCTGCAGTTCTGCCCTCGACGTGGACTCTGCTGTGGCCTTTGAGGGTCCTGGTTCCTTCGGCGTCAGCGTGGCACAGAGCGACGATGGGTATGGAGCTGCCTCACAGCTTGTGGGGCCTCCCCATGGATTCCATGGGACACCCCACAGAACACATGGGGTGCCCCATAAAATATTTGGGGTGGCTCATGGAATGTATTGGGTAGCTCATGGGGCAAATAGAAGCCCTCTGTGGTATCTATAGGGCACCCCACAGAAATCCAGGGGCACCCCATGGAACTTAGAGGGTAACTTACAGAAGCTGTGCGGTGCTCTGCATAATCTGTGGGGTGCTCTGGAGAATCTGTGTGGTGCTCCGCTGAATTTTGAGGTGCCCCACAGAGTCTGTGCAGTGCCCCATGGAAGCTATAGGGTGGCCAGTGTGATCTATGGGGCAGCCTACATAATCTATGGGGTACCTATGTGAATCCACGGGGTGCCCACATAACTATGGGCTCCCTACTGGCTCTATGACTGCCCCACAGAATCGATGGGGCACCCTGTGGGCATCTATGGTTACCCTACTGAATCCATCTGGCCCCCCAAGTAATCTGTGCGGTGCCCCATGGAATCTGTGGGACACACCACTGAATCTGTAGGGTGGTCTGTTTAATCTGTGCGGTGCCCCACTGAATTTAGTCGTGCCCCTTGGAACCTATGGAGCACCCCATATGGCCTAGGGGGCTCCCTGCTGACTCCGTGACTGCCCCACATAGTCTGTGGGGACCCAGTGTAATCTATGTGGTGCCCCATAGAATTGAAGGGGTATCTGTGAGTCACCCTATGGGATCTATGGAGCACCCCACTGAGTCCCACGTCCCCCCATCACAGGGTGCTGGTTGGGGCTCCCCTGGACTTGGGGGGCCGAGGCCGTGTCTATCGATGCCGCGTGGGGGAGAAGAGTTGCAGGGATGCAGGCGTTGGCGGTGAGAGATGTGGGACAGCCCCACACATGTGGGGCACATGGGGTGGTGTGTGGCTGCCTCACATGTGTGTCCCATGGGGTGGACTGGGGAAGGGAGGAGGGATGTGAGGCAAGCACAATGTGTGGAACTGAATGGGGAGTTTGTGGGGTAGCCTCACATGTGTGGGGCAGCCCCAAATGTGTGAGACCTGTGGGAGCTGTGGGGCAGTACTGTATGTGGACCTTAATGGGATGTTATGGGGCAGCCTTAATGTATGGGTCCAAGTGGGAAGTTGTGAGGTGGCCTCAACGTATGAGTCCTATGGGCAGTTATCAGGCAGATCAGTTATCAGGAGGGGGTCCCAGTGGGAGGTTATGGGGCATGGGGTGTTGTGGTGCCGCCCCACATGTGAGTCCTTTGGCAAGTTTTGGGGCTGCTCCACAAGTGTGGGTGCTATGGTTTCTCTGCCCCACAGACCCCCCGGATATGGGTCCCATGGCACTGGGAATGTCCATGGCTGCCAACGGATCCAAGCTCCTGGTAGGTGCTGTGGAGTGCTGTGGGGCTCTCATGGGTCTATGGTGTCTGTCAGGCTCTATAGGCTTTATATCTCTGTGGGGTGCTATGGGGTCTAGGGGTCTGCTGGACTCTATGGGTTCCATGGGGCTCTGTGGGTCTCTATGGGGTGCTATGGGGCTCTGTGGGTCTCTGTGGAGTACTGTGGGTCACTGTGGAGTCTATGGGGGTCTATAGAGCCCAATGGGTTCTATGGGGCTTTGTGTGTCACTGTGGGTCTGTGTGGGATGCTGCTGGTCTCTATGGGATGCTATGGGTCACTATGGTTCTCTGTGGGGCGCTGTGAATCACTCTGAGGCTCTATGGGATGTTATGGGGGCTCTATGCAGCACTATGGGGCTCTCTGGAGTGCTGTGGGGCTCTATGGAGTACTGTGGGTCATTGTGGATCTCTACGGGGTGCTATGGGGTGCAGGCCTGTGGCCCGATGGCGCAGCGGATGTGTGGGGAGAACGCGGAGGTTCCGGGGTTCTGCTTCCTCCTCTTCTCGAGACGCTCCCTACCGACCACCCCACGAGGTATGGGGCATGTGGGGGGCAGCAGTGGGGCAGAGGGGCTCTGTGGGGTGGAGAAGACCCAGCGCCATTGTCCGTGGGTTCTGTGGGGACAGGATGGGGCACAGAATGTCATTGTCACTGGGATCTGTGAGGCGGACGTGGGGCGGAGAAGACACAGTGCCATTGTTGGTGGGATCTGTGGGGCAGATATAGGATCTATGGGGCAGATATAGGATCTATGGGGCAGATGCGAGGCAGAAAAGATCCAACGCTGTTGTCAGTGGGATCTGGGGGGCAAAGAAGACCCAATGTTGGGTTCAGTGGGATCTATGGGTGGGGATGGGTTGGATGAGACTCACTGAACCGCCTGCTCCATCCCACCGCCTGCCCCACAGCTTGCCCCACATCGGCCTCCGACATCGTGTTCCTGATGGACGGCTCTGGCAGCGTGGCAGGGTTTGACTTCCAGCGGATGAAGATATTCGTCATCGAAATCATCAGACGCTTCCGTGGGACCAACACCCGCGTGCGTGACACACGGTGCTATGGGGCTGCCCCACAGTGGGGCCTTGGCCGATGGCCTGCCTCTGTGGCTGCCCCACACAATCTATGGGGCGCTCCATAGAATCCGCGGGTTACCCAAGTGAATCTCTGGGCACCCCATGGAACGTATCGTATCAGTGCCCCACGCAATCTGTGGGGCTCCCAGACTCAACTGTCAGCTGCCTGACATCACTCATGGGGCGTCCCACGGAATTTGGAGCTGCCCCATGGAATTTATGGGGCACCTCGTGTAATGTGTGGGGCCGTGTGGGGTTCTGTGGGGCTTTCTGGAGTGCTGTGGGGCACTATGAGGCTGTGCGGGTTTCCGTGGGATGCTATGAGACTGCGGGGTTCTGCAGACCTCTGCGGGGCGTTATTGGATGCTAAGGGGTGCTGCGGGGCTCCGTGTGGTCTGTGGGGTTCTGTGGGGCTACACGGGCTCTATGTTGGGCTGCAGGGTGCTACGGGTTCTGCGGGGTGCTGCGGGGTTCTATGGGGGCTACGGGACTCTACGGGGCTCCGTGGGCGGTGCGGGGCCGTGCGGTGCGACGTGTGCCGCGGCCGCGCCCCGCAGTTCGCAGTGGTGCAGTTCTCCACCGGCGTGCAGCTGCACGTGGGCTTCTCCGACTTCGACCGCCTGTCGGCGCGGGATCTGGAGCGGCAGGTGGAGGAGGTGGAGCAGAGCAACGGCATCACGCAGACCGCCACCGCCATCCGCACCGTGCTGTACGTCCCGCCCCGACCGCCCCCCCCGCCCCGCGCCGCCCCGGCGCTGACGCTGCTGTGCGCAGGACGCGGGTGTTCGCGGGGAGCCGCGCGGGGGCCAACAAAGTGCTGATCGTGGTGACGGACGGGCAGAAGTACGGCGACGCGCTGCAATACGGCGATGTCATCCCGGAGGCTGAGCGCGCCGGGGTCGTCCGCTACGCCATCGGGGTGAGCCGGGGCCGCGGAGCTCCCCCGGCCCCGCACGTCGCCCCGCGTCCCTCCCGCACCCCAAATTCCTCCGCGTTCCTCCAAATCCTCCCCCAGATCCTTCCTCAAAATGCCCCAAATTCCTCCGCGTTCTCCTCAAAGTCCTTCCCCAAAACACCAAATTCCTGCAAATTCTCCCCAAAATCTTCCCCCCAAAATCAAAATCTTAAATTCATTCCAAAGCCCCAAAATTCCCCTCCCAAAATCCACCCCTCAAAACCCTCAAACCACAAAATCTATCTCCCAAACCCCAAGCCCAATCCCCCAAAACTCCTAAATCCCAAATTCGCCCCCAAACCCTAATTTCCCCACACCTCCCCCATAAAAAAAAAAACAAAAATCCCAAATCCACCCAATCCCCATCTCCACAACTCCTTCCCCTAATGAATCCCCAAAACCAGACCTGTCCCCCAAACCCCAAATTTCCCACAAATTCTCCCCAGTTCCTACCCGAAGCCTGCCCACAAAGCTCCCACCCTCTCACCCCCTCACCCACACTGCCATGAGCTGCCCCCCATAACTCCACACCCACCCAAAGGCCCCAATTCTGCTCATTCCCCCCAAACCATCCCCAAACACCAAACACCAAATTCATCACCCAAACCCCACATTCCCCCCAATTCTTCACCAAGCCCTTCCCCAAAATTCACAAGCCCCAAATTCATCCCCCAAAGCCTAAATTCCTCCCCATTGCCCCCAAATCATAGCCCAAATCCCTCCCTCCAGAAAAGCCCAACTCCAATCCCCAAACCCCAAATTTCCCCAAATCCTCCCCAAGAATTGTGGGGCTCTATGGGGGTCTGTGAGTGTCTAAGGGCTCTGTGGGGTGTTACGAGGCTCTATGGGCTCTGTTGGGCACTATGGGATGCTATGGGGTTCTGTGGGATCTAGGGGGCTCTATGGGGTGCCAATAGCCATGGGGGCACCTGAGGGACATCAGGGGGACAGCAAGAGCGTTGGGGACGTGGGGCTTCACACTGAGACATTGGGGACACTGGGAAGCGAGAGGCTGGGGACACGGAAGTGCCGCCAGGAATGTAGGACAGCGAGAAGAGTGGGGACAGAGTGCTGGGACACCGAGAGTGTGGAGTGCACCGCGGTGACACCAGGAGTGCTGGGGACGGCAAGGGACGGTGATGGAGAGCTCTGGGTGCATCAGGGGTTGGGGACATTAAGTGACACCAGGAGTGGTGGGGGACAGGTGAGATTGAGGCTGTGGGGACATGGAGGTGACGCAGAATGTGGGGGGCACCACGAGTGTCATGGCCACCTCACCTTGGGGTGACACCAAGAGCGCGGGGGACAGCGGGGATGATGTCGAGTTCTGGGGATGCCAAGAGGGTTGGCACCCCTCGAACACTGGGGGCACAGGGAGCTTTGAGACACCTAGAACGTGGGGGGCGGCAGGGCAGTGGGATGCCCAGAACTCGGGGACACCGGGTGACACCGAGATGGCAGGGGCACCGCGAGCGATGGGGACGTCCCCGCAGGTGGGCAGCGCCTTCAAGGATGCCAAGGCGGCCGCGGAGCTGCAGACCATCGCCTCGGCCCCCCCCGAGGCACACGTCTTCCGCGTGGACAACTTCGAGGCGCTGCAGGGAATCCAGGAGCAGCTGCAGGAGAAGATCTTCGCCATCGAAGGTACGGCCCCATAGGGCGGCCCCACGGAGGTGCCTGGGGCCCACCTCACCCCATGCTGCCCCCAGGGACCCGCCCAGCCTTCGGGAGCTCCTTCCAACTGGAGATGGCCCAGGAGGGCTTCAGCACTCTGCTCACCCCTGTGAGTGTCCCCACTGCCGCCCCACGGCTCCGCGCCCATCCATGCAGACCAAAACCCATCAGAACCCCATAGGCCCCATAGCATCCCATAGAGATCCATAGAGCCCATAGTCCCCCATAGATACCACAGAGCTCTATAGACCCCTCAGATCCCCATAGGCCCTATAGCACCCCATAGAGATCCATAGAGCCCCATAGACCCTCAGAGACCCACCAGAAGCCTCCAAGCCCACCAGAATTCCCCAGGACCTCCTCAACCCACTCCAAACACCCTTTAAATCCATCTGAGACCCCCAGGGCCCCATCCCACCCAGCTCAGCCCCCCGCCCCCCTCCCCGACCTCCCTGCTGCAGGAGGGGGCGGTGCTGGGAGCAGTGGGCGCCTATGACTGGGCCGGAGGGGTCTTCATCTATGGGGCTGATGGGAAGGTTGCCTTCGTCAACGCATCCGAAGCGGACGGGGGTGTGAGCGACGCATACTTGGGTGAGGGCCTGGGGGTCCTGGGCTCCTCAGGGGGGTCTTTGGGTTGGTGGTTATTCCCATAGGGGTCTTGGCATCCTCATGGGAGTCTCTTGGTTGAGGGTGTCCCCATGGGGATGCTGGAGTCCTCACGATGGTCAAGGGGGTGGTGGGCTACCCACGGGGGTCTTGGGGTTGGTGGGTGTCCCCACTTGGGTCATGGAGATAGTGGGGTTCTCAAGGGGGTGATGGGGATGGTGGTGATCCCATGGGGTTAATGGAGTTTTGTGGGGGTCCTGGGGTCTTCACAGCAGTCTTGGGGCCCTTGTGATGGTCCAAGAGATGATGGGATCCCCATGGAGACAGAGTTGTCCCTGTGTGGGTCTTGGGGGTGGTGGTGATCCCACGGGGGTCCCTGAGCTGTGGGTGTCCCCATGCCCCCACGAGGAGCTGTGGGGCCATGGGTCCAACACCCCCCGGCCATGGGTCCAACCCACCACCCACAGGTTACGCCACTGAGTCTCTGTCCCTGGGGGGGCTCCGGGCACTGGTGCTGGGGGCCCCCCGGTATCGCCACGTGGGCCGCCTGCTCCTCTTCGTGCTCCACCGTGGGGGGAAGTGGGAGCTGCGCTCTGACGCCATGGGGCGGCAGGTGATGGTGGGGGGATGGTGGGGGGATGTGTGGGGCACGGCATGGGGTGGGAGGAGCCCCGCGGCTGACACCGTCACCCACAGGTGGGCTCCTACTTTGGGGCAGCGCTCTGCGCTCTGGAGGGGTCAGGGGATGGCGTGGCACTTCTGGTGGGGGTCCCCATGTTCTATGGGGACGGCACTGGTGGACGTGTGGAGGTTTGCACGGTGCTGCCACAGGTACGGACCCCCAGCACGGCCCCGTGGTGCTCAGCGCGTCCCCATCCCAATAAGTCAGCTGCAAACCAACCCCAGTCCAACCCCTATCCCAACTCCATCCCCATTCCATCCCTATCCCCATCCCAACCGCCATCCCATTCCATCCCACCCCTATCCTGACCCCCACTCCCATCCCCATCGCCATCCCATCTCATCCCTATCCCCACCCCCATCCCCATTCCCATCCCAACCTGACCCCGTCCTCTGCCCACGCCCCCCACGTGTTGCTCGCTGTAGGGCCCTGTGCTGCGGTGCCATCAGATGCTGCGGGGTCAGGCCGGACACCCGCTGGGGCGCTTTGGGGCCAGTGTTGCTCGCCTTGGGGACATCGATGGGGACGGACTGCACGATGTGGCCGTGGGTGCTCCCATGGAGGATGATGAGCGCGGTGCCATCTACATCTTCCGTGGGGAGAAGGGCGGTGTCAGTGACCACTACAGCCAGGTGGGACCACCCCACTGAGACCCGCTGAACCCCATAGCATTCCGTAGATCCCAAAGATCTATGGAACCCTTCAGAACCCTACAGAGCCCCATAGACCCCACAGACCCCACAGTGCCCCCAGGTCCCACAGACCCCACAGTGCCCAGCTGCCGCATGGAGGGTTGGGTGCTGTGCTCCATCCTGGTTCTGAGGAGGCCCACCCATGTGTGGTTCCATCTCCCACAGCGCATTGCAGGCTCCATATTCCACAGTGCCCCACAGCACTTTGGGCAGGCGCTGAGTGGGGGGCGCGACATGACAGGGGACAGACTGCCGGATGTGGCCGTGGGCGCACAGGGACAGGTCCTGCTGCTCAGGTGGGAGTGACGCGCCGGAGCCCCATCACCAATCCCAAATCAAATACCCCAACCCCAACTCAAATAACCCAACCCCATACCATTCTCATCTCCAACCCCAATCCCAACCAAACACCAGCCCTAACCCAACTTCATCCCCAAACCCATCCCCATCCCCGTCCCATCCCATCCCATCCCATCCCATCCCATCCCATCCCATCCCATCCCATCCCCATCCCCATCCCCAATCCCAATCGCATTCCCCCCAACCCCCACCCCCATCCCCATCTCCATAACCATTCCCAACCTCAACCCATCCCTATTCCCATCTCCATCTTCATCCCCATCCCCGTGCCCGCCCCCATCCCCACTCCCGTACCCATTCCCACCTCACCCCACCCCACGTTCCCCCCTCCCCCACGCCGCTACCCCACAGGTCCCCGCCGCTGCTGAAGGTTGAGGTGACGGTGACCTTCAGTCCCCCGGAAATCCCAACGTCTGCCCTCGACTGCCACCGGGCAGAGGAGGAGGAGCCGAGCGCCGCTGGAGCTGCGGCGGTGGCCACGGCCGAAGTCTGCTTCGTCGGCACCAAGAAGAGCCGTGACAGCTTAGGTGAGGGCGCAGGGTGCGGGGCCGCCGCCCATCGGCCACCCACGGGACCTCCCCAGCCCCTCCGGGCGCCCTCAGAACCCTTCGAGTCCCACGGCTCCCCCCGGCCCGTCCCAGACGGCGTCGCGACGCACCGAGCCCCGCGGCACCGCCAACCCCCTCCCGCCGCCCCCCAACCCGCCGCGGCTCGCCGCGCCCGCAGCGCCGTCAGCGCCCGCAGCGCCGCGTCCTGC